GGGGGGGACAAGACGGAGAGAAAATGTTGGTTTGGCATTCATAGCCGGTTGGTGAGTGAGTGTTTGTGTGTGTTCAGGAGTTGTAAAGTTTGATTTAATTATTAATGTGGAAGCAGTAACATTGCTTCCCAAACTAGCAAATGAAACTCCATCTTGCCAAGGAACTCGCACAGGTCACAGTGATCAATTACTTAATGAAAATGATCAGGTTTCTAATGCGGCCCTGGCCAGAGATCCACTCCAAATTCCTGCAGTACTTCACGTGGCTATAAAACAGTGTACCTCAGCTTTCTTCCAGTGGTTAGGCAAAGTGTGCCACCGCTGCAGTCTTTCTGTCAAAACTCCAAACGGCTGAACCAGCTTTAAGGAAAGGATTATTACTTATTAAGAATGGCTAATGCATGATATAAAAGTTGGCTCCCTTGCCATCTCTATCCCCTCCTGTCGCATTGGCTCAGCCTCAACTTCTCTCTCCTGCACTAAAAATGTATATTTCTTTTGTCTATGCTCATATTTTCAAATACTGACGTATTTTTATGGAGCACGAAAGAAGCAAGCATGTCAAAGTCTATCTTAATACAACACTCAAATGACTATGTGTACATTGTAAGCGCTATAGGTTGTAATAATTTCTGTTCTCAATACTGGCTGTGAAGACACAACTATGTAAGAGATGGGGGGACAAAACCCACGGTCCATTCCACAGACACAAACATGCAGCGACCAATCATGAACCTGAGAAAAGGTGTGCATCAAGCAGTTTGTTCCACAGAGAAGGACCAAAGTATCTGAAAGCATTTTAAAATTGTGCTATGGGCATACAGTTCACTTACTGAGAGAACCACCACGTGATGACCTGAGAGGTCTGATTAAAAGTTCAGCTGAAGCCACAGAATTTGAGCAGCTTCAGCAGTCTATGAGTTTACTAAATCAAGGGTGTATCTTTTAGTCTTTTTTTAGTAACTCTTTAATATCCTCAGCAAGGAACCAGTGTCAAACAGAAGGATTATTGATGCAGAGTTCACCTACATGGCCAGTATTGATAGGAGGAATGTTCGCAACCACCAATAACTTCTTCAATGTATATATGGGCATTTTAGTATTGTTTCAGTATGGTAAACCAATTAGACAGACCTGAAGAAACGCATAATTTATCATTGAATCCAAGTTCTATATTATCAAATTGCTAATCCTCACAGCTGCTAGAAATTTCTGACCGACATGTGATGGACAGTTGTCCATCCTCTGGCTACTTGACACCACGACGGAGTCTATTTTCGTGGTGTGCGTCCTAACTCCTTCAGCACCACGGACAGCGCCGTCTGCGCCCAGCCTTTCTCTCTCTCTCTCTCTCTCTCTCTCTCTCTCTCTCTCTCTCTCTCTCTCTCTCTCTCGCTCTCTCTCTCTCTCTCTCTGTCTCTCTCTCTCTCTCTCTCTCTCTCTCTCTCTCTCTCTCTCTGTCTCCATCTATAGCCGGTTTCCTTTCCGCTGTGACAGTGAAGCCTTTACCATGTTATACCGGGAGCATGCAACAGCAGCGAGCAGCGGCTCACACGCACCAGGCTGCGAGCCGACTGCAGGCTCTGCGTGCAGCACCCATTCTTAATATTTCTGCGTGGTAATACAAAACCATGCAGGCATATTCTGCTAAATTATTAAATACCAGACTGCAAGGCTCTGGCTATATAGCATGAGGTAATCGTTACAGCCCTGTTTGTTTGATGCGTTCCTGTGTGCCAACAAGTGGAAATGTGTTTTGGAAATATAGATATCAAGTGTGTGTTTATTGTCCCTCTTGTAATTTTTTAAAATAGTGACACTTTTTGGGCATCGAACTAGGATAGAAGGACTCACTTAGAGTTAATCATGCAATAAAGTGACGTTCAGGATATATCTTGACAAAGCATACTGTTTGAAAGGCCTGTAGATCTGTTTCGGTGACGTAGCTGTAAAAGTGATTTCTTATGATGGGTGGTTATATGGCAACATTGACAAAGTCGATCTATTGGATCCACAGCGGATTAAGGCGATCGACCATGAGAGCAGGATTTAAGCACCTGTCTATGTCTCAATAATCCCATACTTGTAATATCTTAACAGCCGAAAGGAGCGATCGATCCGCTGCAACCTGTATACGCATAGCAGGCGATGGACAGATATTCCGTCGAAGGCGGTGTTTTGGCTTTACAGTGACGTTTTAAGGCAGGTCTTGGTCAAACCTACCAATGATACAAGTCGGTTCTATTCTGCTGGGACTGATCGCAATGAGCGGGTGTCGGAGCTCTGCACGGCAAAGGAGCAACCACAGCGAGACGAGGCGACTAAGGGGATGCGGCATCGGTACGCGGGAGCTGTCCATCAGCACCACATCCCCGACGAAAAGCAAGCAAGCAGCAAGCAGAGCCGAGACCCAGACGCTCCTGTTTTCAGCCTGCCGCCCCCGCCCTCTTCTCACCACCGAGACCGCACTTCGACTACCGCCGCTCAACGCCAGAGCCTCCAGGAGCTCCCGTGTCTGAGCCAGCCCTCTCGGCGACCTGTTCACAGCGGCGACCCTCTACCTCTGGCGAGCCACGACACCGCCCAGCGACCTTCCCACCGAGCCGGTGAACCCAGCACCGGGCAGCCGGTGCACCTGCAGCAGGATCCCTGGGCCCCGGCCGGCTCTCAGCAGCAGCAACCGCCGCAGTCGGAGAAGCAGCCTGTTTTTCCGAGCTGCCACTGCAGTTTTTCCGAGCAGGAGGCGAGCCTTTCTCAAAACCATCACCATCCTGCCGATCCTCTCCCACCGCAGCCCTCCCCACCTTTTCCGCCTCCTATACCGCCGCCACCAACGTCGTCCTCCTCCTCTCTGCTGTTTCCCCGGGAATCTAAAAGGGGGGATCGTCTCCAAAGGAGTGCCAATAATTACCAACAGGCAAGCATCGTGGAACGCTGCAGGGGAGGAGGAGGAGCAGGAGGGCACCGAGACCACAGGCAGTTGTTGCAGCAACAGCAGCAGCAGCAGCAACAGCATCAACAGCACAGTCATTTAAGACTCCAACAGAGGGACCCCTCCCCTGAAGGAACCCGTGCAAACTCGCAGAAAGGGGGCTCTTTAAATGTATGTGAGTCAACCGAGGCTAACAGGAGAGCATTCGAGTCTCAGACTCAGGACCTGCAGCAGCAGCAGCAGCAGCAGCAGCAGCAGCAGCAACAGATCCCACAATTACGAGCGCAGCAACAGCTACTGGTGGGGAGCAGCTTGCCTATCAACTACTGCGCCAGCGGCTCAGGAGAGCTATGTAGGACTCACCAGGCTCCACTGCTGCAACAGCAAGAGCAGCAGCAGCAGCGGCAAGGCGCACTGGGGCTCAGTCCCCAGCGTCCGCAGCACTGTGAACAAGACCGCAATAAGTCTGGGAGGATCACCGCGCAAGGCGACCAGGCGCAGCCACACAGCCGCGACTCCCGCGTAACACCCCCGGTAACACAACAGGCATACGCGGGGAACTCGTCTGCGACTGGCAGCAACAGCAGCAAAGACAGCCCCAACTACGGCTCGAGCTATCACCTGTGGCCAGAGAGCCCGCATAAAGGAGAGGAGAGGATACGCATCGACCTCCATAAGGTAGATTTATTCACATTTTCTCTTGCGATATCGGAGCTAATTAGACTCTAATGACAAAAAAAAACAAACTGGCCTTAACGTTTTTCACTCAATGACCACGCCTGTCAAATTATTTTTATTCTCACATTCTCCTATGTGTACGGTGTGCACGCGCGTGGTATGTGTGTGTATGTATGTAAGGGGGGGTATTTTAATCGTCATTCAGTTTTGGGCAGCTTCTCCAAAAGCGCCTATGTAACTACCGCACATGTAACCCAATGCGTGATATATCTTATCCAACCTGGCGTTTGTTTAATTTGGTCACACAAGGCGCATGCACGCACAAACGCGAACACACACACACACGCGCGCACACACACCTGTTCCATGTTGCAGTGTTGTTTTGGGGAGCCCACTGAAATTGTTCTAATGAAGCTCCCCGGCAGCTGAATTAAACAAATCGTGTGTTGTTTCCACTGAACCGAGGGGTTCAGTGGAAACAACAGCTGGTTTCAGTATCTTGGCTTCCAGACACCGCTCTGACATAACGGTTAGGCCTGTACCTGTCGGCGTGAGCAGCTCCTGGCAGGGTGCTCACACTCACTTTATTTGATACAGTAGTATGTGCTGAATGTATGCTTGGAGAGCTGCTCTCAACAGTCAAATACATTGTAAAATGTGTAGTATATATAATATGTATATAGACGTCAACCTCTTAGGAGTTATTACATCTGGCCAAACAACTGACAGCAAGAAAATCAAGATGACAAGCATGTTGGATAATAAGATAAAACATTCTAAGTGACAACAAGGATGAAAACATATTGGGGGGGGGGGGAATAATATCAGGTAAAAGAAGCTAACATGGCCCTGCAGACATTTAGATCATAGGTTAAGTGAAAGTGGTAACAAGTGGGAAGGTGTGTGTCAGCATGCATGTGTTTAAAAAAAAAAAGAGAGCGAAGGAAGACACAAAGAAGAAGAAGTTTAAAGCAGTTTGCTTCAAATGATTTACAATCTATTATTAATTATTAACTGGCTGATTAATTGCTGCTAACCACTGACGGATCATTAATGTAGCTTCCGGAAAACTCATAATAAGCATGACAAATCATTATCCTGTACATTAGCTAATATTTTGTTGATAAATGAGTGAGTTTAATGTTCTCTCCGCTTAGAGTTGAAGAATTCATCTTTTCGGATCTTGCAGATGTACCACAAAAAGCTAAATCAAACATGTCAAAGTACATTGCTGTTGATTCTAGCTGCTAGCAGGAGAGGAATTGGTTTTAAAGTGCCACCACTCATCTTCCCTGAGACATCTGGTTGGCCAAACATGGTTAATTCTTGGTCATACCAATGAACCATATGAACATTTGAATAGGTGTTCAGAATCGGAACCGTTTATTGCCAAGGCATGTTGCACATACAAGGAATTTGACACTTGGTTGTGAAAGTAATCATCCTTATTTTCAAATGAGTAGCACAGTTGTTTTGTCCTCCTCGAGCATTTCCTCCAGGTGCTAGATGTGAAGTCTTTATATCGCAGGATAGAAAAGGGGAAATAACGGGAGGCACTGATGAGGGTGCAGCATCTAAATACGAGCACCGGACTCCTTTTTAAAATGCGGCAGCTGTCTTCAGGGGCTGAGCTGGAGCCGGTAGTAAAAGGTGGTACATCGAACCACCTTGACATGACTGTTCTGAACTTGGCTCAATTTTGGAGCGTCAGCAGAACACCCAAACGATGAAATTTCTTCTATTTTTTTCTCGAATTTGTCACCATCCTGTTTCAAGTTAAAATCACAGTTTGTTTTGCTGAAAGGGAAGCTAAATCCAAGACATGAGGTGAATTAAGAAGAGTGGAAATGTTTTCCTCTAGTTCCACAATATTGATCGGACACATATTTCCAGAAATAGGGTCTACCACTTTGTGTTAGAGCATCTTATAAGAAGTATAGTATCTAACAGGGCTTCATTTTCTTCTGATCTGCTGTGTGCACTGCATCATAGACGCACCAAGTTAATGGTGTCGTATATTGTGCATCACCAATAAAATAAAAATGCATAATATCCATACATCTTCCCCTATAAAGTGATATCTGTGAAGAATATAAGGATGTTGTGACACCATTATAAAAGCCCATATTGTACTAATCATAGAGTAAAATGATAGTACAAAGAGTCTTTGGTAAGTCGTAAAATAGTCCCAGTGAATACTCATTACTGTTTAAGGCAGCTGGGATTTTAACAAGCTGCAGGATTGTTATGTCTTTTAAATCCATTCTGGTTATTATACTGGGAGATTTTTTTCTCTTTTCCAAACTGATCGTGATGTCTCTGATGGCTACAGGCCCAAAAAACACCAAAAGCTGGAAAATGGTCAGTATACAGCTGGAAAACCAAGCATGAACACAATATGCAATAGTGACCTCTTATATAAATAATTACAATGGCAATGTAACTTTAGCATCATAATTATCTGCAGCTTTCAGGCAAGTAATTTCCACAGTAAACTGGACATTAATTTACGATACAATCTGAAAGGAAAACAAATCTTAGAAGTACTCCCAGGACAGACTGTGCGTAAGTATCAAACCTTTTCCACTCGCTCCGATCCGACTGTGCCAAGTATTTTGATACGGCTAGACACGTTGATCCATCCACGGGTATTTGCGGCATCGTGGTTACATCTTATTGACTCGCCCTCAATGAGTCAGCCCCTACCCCCGCTCCCATTTGAAATCCCTTAAACAAAACGCTTGTGACAGAACAAGCCTAATAAAGTGTATACGATTACAGTATCCCTGAAACTTGATACCCAGCCCACTGAACTGATGGCAGGTAGTACGATATTGTGTCCTGCCTCAATGACTTTGTGCTTTGAAAGGTGCATTGCTGCTTCTATTGTGATAGGCTGTGTAAGTACTTTAATGCCTGCCACTTACTGCCATGGTGAGATCTCCTGCATGGACAATGTAGTATAAACACCGGTGGATTTGCTGTCGTCTTTAACAAAGCTGCATTTTGAGGATACGAGGACGTCCTGTTTAGCAGAATCCTGTGATTGATAACTTTACTGTTTGTCAGATTTGGTGCCATCCAGGGCCACAAATTATCAGGTTTTTTAGTTTTTTATGGCTCCCTCCTCGTAGTCGATTAGTTGACTAATTGCTGGTTTTGGTCGTAGTCGATCAAGATTTCATAAGTCGATAAGTAGTTTTTATGCATTTTTACAAGAAACTCATCAGCACATCTCTGGTAAACACAAGATTTACAGTGGTGATTCTTTGGGGAGGAACTCGGTTTTACAGATCGATTAGTCGACAGAATCGCACGAGTGTTACTCTGCAAGAAATCCACCAGTAGAATGAAAGTGCACTTCCTTTAGTTTGTATTGTTTGTGCTTTCTCGGTGACAAGATGGACCAAAGTATTGCAGCGCTGCAGTGAACAACTCTTTTTCTTTATTGCTTAATCAGTTGATTATTTGTAGGAATCAAGGAATAGTTTGACATTTTCGGGAGTCCGCTTTTTTGCTTCCTTGCTTCCTTGCTTCCTTGCCAAGAGTTGGATGAGAAGATTGAAATGTCAAACTCTTTCATTAATCAATGAATTTGGCAATTTTATTGATTTTATTTATTGATTGTTAAATGAAAAGGAAATAGTGTAAAGTCCTCGTCACCAACTGTTTACAGTTCAAATATGTATTCAATGTTGGCAGAAAAGTAAGAAGCAAGTCATCGTCTGGATCAGCAGAACATTTGACATTTTTCTTTGTTCTGAATCGTTGACTTCACATTTTCATTAATCGACTGATCATTTTAACACACACACACACACACACACACACGTTTTGCTGCTTTCACCCAGATAAAGCTTATATTTTAGTATTTCATTTTTCTCAAGTTTTCTTCAGTTTTTCCAATATCCAAGATGGTTTATTCCAAGTAAAATCCAGAGCACTCATGTTTTTTTCCTCCTGTCTAAATTAAGGAAAATGCTGAGGTAATTGGGCTGCCGGCGCTCTTTAGAGAAGTAATCTTATCAGTCGTGTGTTTGTGTTGGCTTTGCAATAACGCTGAGGTAACGTCGAGTGCTTGGGTTTGAGAACAATTGATGTCGACAGATGTGCTTACAGCGCTATGATTTACCAGCGGGCCTATGCCAGGAGAAACATTATGTTGATTTAAACTTTCTCTGTCGGTCATCTTCCTGTTGTTACAGGCCCTGCGTTTGTTTTACTCTCATTAGGCTTCCATGTCTCCACTGCCCTCTGCGTTCAAGTCCGGCAGGGCAGCCAACACCTTGAAAGTAAACACACCTCACTAAACCATTTAAATGTCAGACAAGGGGCAGATCCGAGTTCACATCCTCTGTATTCAGCGGCACTGCTGTCGACCCCTGATAACGCTAACGATTGTATGAAGAGAGGTATTTGTTGGCTGTGGGAGCCTCTCAGTTTCGGCTGCAGCTGGCAACACACAGGCAGTAAGTATGAACATGAAGCTCTTTTAATAATTGATTGCTGTTTTCCCTATTTTTCTTTTTTTTTGTCTGCTGTGTTTAAGTGCTACGCTGCTCTCCTGCTCTGAAATAGATTTGCGTTTCCATGTGTGTTGCTATGGAGAGATCAGCCTTGTATTGTTGTAGCGGTCTCTCTCAGGGGTGTTGAGTTTGGTCAAGGAATCGTGTGTAGAACAAGATCAATCTTTTGAATTTACAATCCGTTTCACACATGCCTTTAACACTCGTGTAATACACACGTACAGCATGGGCTTGCACACATTTCGACGTCACGTACACACACACACACACACACACACACACACAGTGAAGGGTACAGCCAACACAAACACTGATGTTACTGTAAGTGGTGTTCAAATAGTGCTCCACTTGATATAGTTCATTCGCTTTGCGTTTCATTTGAGTGAGCCTGCACAAGGAGAGGTGTATTGAATTACTCGCAGTCCAGTTGAATACAAAGAGTGGAAAGAAAGAGTGTTGGGGGTTTCCCTCAGT